CGATCTGGGTGTATTTGGTTGAGTCAGGTGTGTTGTGTAGTATTGCTGATATGGATTCTTTCGCTAGTTCTGGGTTTATGAATGTAAAGAGAGCTATGAGATCAAGTGAGACCATAATTTCATCTTCCTCTGTGTGCACATCTTTGATTTTCTGGAGGCACTGCAGTGAGGAGTTGATAGAATATTCACTGTTCTCTGTGAGGTGTCCAAGTTTTTTTGTCAGTTCTTTCGCTATGTTGTACGTTGGAGTCCCTGGTAAAGATACAATAGGTCGGAGTGGTATGTCAGGCTTGTGTATTTTTGGTCATCCATGGAATATGGTAGGTATGTAGATGACACATTTGTTATAATAAAAAAAGAAACAACTACTAACTACTATTTATTTCCTTGTCTGAGTATTCAGTAGTTTTGCAGGCTTCAGGCAGATACTTACTGAGAGCAGAAGATGTGTGGTTTTTGTATAAGGAAAGGAAAAATCATGAATATTGACTGTATCCGAAACATGCAGCAATACATGTATCCATCTTTGTTTTCAGGTGGTATAAGTGACTGGAAAACACTTTTTAGTGAAGCAAACAACCAGGAGATGGACACGACATTTAAAGAGCGTTTAGAAGGGACCAAAGTGGGTGATATGATAAAGTATGATGTCTACTGCAAGGCATGAAGATCAAGGAAGAAAGCTAACCACTATCGACATTATTCATAAACAATTCCATTTTCAAGAACAAGGCATTCCATTTTCTTGTAATGAATTTATGACCAGTCTTATTTAGTCTCTATATGAAAGGGGAATAGAAATTATTTCAGAGTTTCTTTACAGCAGTTATAAGTACAATTATAGCTTTACCTTTTATTCTATGGTTTTCATATACCTCTCTTCTTTCTATAATATATTCTGTCTAATCATCAAATCTAATCATTTTTTTCTGTTTCATGCAAAAAGTCAATAAGGGGTTTCCAGTCAGCAATAAATGTAGATATTGTCTTTTCTGTCATCAAATAAGTCAATTTAACCATCTCAGCAAGTTTCTTCTTTGTATCTTTTTTCTTTCTTTTCTTTTACTTTTTTTCTTTCTTGCACTTTTAACTTTCTCTTTGATTTCTTTTCTTTTTCTTTCTTTTTCTTAGTTTGTATTAGTTTTTATGTTCTTTTTAAAAATCTTTAATAAAATTATAGAAATTATTTCCAAGTTTTCTGATGAAATTTCCATAATAGCATTACTTAATCCTGCTATAAGCATATTCAGTTCTATTCAGGTTTATGCCAAAATATTTCAGAAATATAAGAAATAATTAGACAAGATAGATGACATAAAGAAATCTAAAATATGACCCTTTTTATGTAGAAATAGACAAGCTCTTAGTCCCACCAATTCTTCAAAGCATACACGTAGGTTTGTGTGTGTTTATACAGGCACACACATATACCTATACACATATTTACATACAAGTTACATTATTACATTGAATGTTGAAATCAATTTAAAATGAAAATGTTTATACATACATTGAAATCTTAATCAGAAATTCTAGAAATTAGAAAATTCATTCATTGTCTGCCACCCAATCTGAATGATCACTAGTAACAGGAAATTCGCACATATATACCCATACAGATGGAGAGAAGAGAGTCTGTGCATGTGATATTTCAGCATGATTGATCATCCTTCCAGGGTCAGCTGGTATAAAGAATACTACTTGTTCCAATATACTATGTTTTATAGTATCTATGTGCTTTTTCACTTTTTTTCTTGGTGTTAATTAAAAATGCAGGTCAATGACAGAACAGGTCATTTTCATTTCTTGTGCAGGTGAGATGTATCTTTGGAACAGTAAAATCTGGAGAAGCAGTTATTGACTGCACATTTTTACTATGGCTGTGCAAAATATTCAAAAGATATGCTTCACAATACATGTTGGCTTGAGCAAAGCACCCTCCTTTGAACAGTTAAAGCAGCTGCATCCCTTGGAAGGCTGCTTTGAAGACCATATCTGATTTAAGTTGTCTGCAACCAAGGTTTGCACAGTAAACACTTCCACCCTCTTCCAAATGCTTAACACAGCTCCAATGTCTACATTGGGAAAGCAATTATTAGAAAATGAAATTAACACCAATTTAAAAGGGAGCTAATATTTTGCCATTACAGAGAATTGAGAGGGTCATGTGGAAAGATAAGGAAAGAATGAGGAGAATGCTTATGCTTCTGGCAGAAGATAAGGCACACCAATCAGTGGGATATTGAGCTGGACATTATTAGGAAAGTTAAACATGAGAACTTTAGGGCTAGACATGTGCAGAATAGTTGTCTGTACCTATCTATAAAAGAGTGTTTGTCATGACCCACGATTCAGAGTCTGCCTCTGCCTCTGACAACATTGTTCCAGCTGAGCCTGTGGAATCTGAGGCTGATCAGCCACAGGCATCTCCTGATCAGCTGGAGCAGTCAGATGACGAGGCACGACCCCCAGGCCCCAGATC